TTGAGAATATGTAGATGTTATTGTCTTTTAAAAATGTTTTAAGCTGATGAAAATAGCCATGTAGGAGATATGTAAATAGAACATCAGACTTGCTGTAATTAGAAGATAGAGATGTAGATGGTCGGCATCTACTTGATATGTAAAGTTTTTTTTGAATGAATAGAAAGTTACTATTTACCAAAAAAAAAGATAAGATAACCAACTATAACGACCCGACTTGTCGTTTTAAGAATTTACATCTCGTTCAGTGATTTAAGGTTTCGAGTAGCCTCGTAATATGTATTATGACCCCGCGTGTGTGGTCGGGTTTGAATTACGGATGATTCGGAGTGATTTGGGATACTTAGTTCCCAAAAAGAGAGCTTAAGTCTTAGGATTTTGACCGTAGTCGGAACTGTATGAAGACGACTCCGGAATAGAGTTCCGTCATTTTTGTTAGCTCCGTATGATTATTTTGGACTTAGGAGCGTGTCCGAAAAATTATTTGGAGGTCTGTAGTGGAATTAAGCTTGAAATGGCGAAACTCAAAATTTTGAAAAGTTTGACCGGGGGGTTGACTTTTTGATATCGGGGTCGGAATGCAATTCCAAGAGTTGGAACAGCTCCGTTATGTTATTTCGGACTTGCCTGCAAAATTTGACGTCATTCCGGGTTGGTTTGATAGGTTTCGGCACAAGTTTTAGAAGTTGAAAGTTTTTGAAGTTCATAAGTTCGATTTGTAGTGCGATTTGTATTTTTGGCGTAATTTGATATGATTTGAAACCTCGAACGAGTCCGTGATATGCTATGGGACTGGTTAGCATGATTGGACGGGGTCCCGAGGGGTTCGGGTGTGTTTCGAAGTGGTTTCGGACCAAATTGGAGTTGTTTGGACTGCTGTTGCTGAAGTTTGGTTTCCTTCTTCGTGAACGCGAAGGAAGTCCTGCGTTCGCGAAGAGGAGTTTGAGGGGCTGATGATTTGTCCTTCGCAAACGCGAAGCTGTGATTGCGAACGCAAAGAAGGAGCAGGGCAAGCCTTCGCGAACGCGGCCCAGGCAACGCGAACGCGAAGAAGAAAAGGAAGATAGGGGCCTAGGGTCGTTTGGCATTCGCGAACGCAAAGCTTGGAACGCGAACGCGAAGGAGTTGGTCAGCTGGTCATCGCGAACGCGGAGAGGAAATGATGGGGCAGAAGCAGTTGGCCTTCGCAAACGCGACGTTTGTCACGCAAACGCGAAGAAGGATTGGAGGCAGCTGGATTTTTGGCCTTCACGAATGCGAAGAAGGTGTATCTGGGCAGAATTAAAAGTCCCAAAAACGGGGGTTTGAGTTCATAACTCAAAATCAAATTGGGAGCTCGGTAAAAGGCAATTTTTGGAGAGATTCTTGCGTGGGTGTTTGGGGTAAGTGATTCTTATCCAGTTTTAATTAATTTTCATGATTATGTCTTTGAATCCATCATTTAATTCGGATTTAATGGAAGAGAAATCAAGATTTTTGTAAAGTCTTTTTAAAACGAAAATTTAAGATTTGGAGGTCGATTTGTTATTGGAATTCGATAAAATTGGTATGGTTGAACTCGTATTGGAATGTATGTTCGGATTTCATGAAAATTATGTCGGGTTCCGAGAGGCGGATCCCTCGTTGACTTTTGTTGACTTTTTTGAAATAAATTTTTAAGTCGACGTATTATTATTCGGAATTATTCCCGATGAATTTTAATGAAGTTATATAATTAATTTGGATAGATTTGAACAGCCCGGATGTCAATTCAAGCAAGAAGGCGATTTTGGAATAATGGCATAACTTCAAAGAGGTAAGTGTCTTGCTTAACCTCGAGTGGGAAAATTTTCCCTTAGGCATTGAGTCTTATGTGCAACTTGGGTAATTGAAAACCATGTACGCGAGGTGACGAGTACGTACTTGGTTTATATGTGCAAATTTTATTGAGTTAAAGTCTTGAACATATTGTGTAGTAAATTGGATAATTATTGGCATATATTTGATCATCTACTTGTCGTGCCTAAACCCTTGTTGTTGACTCTGTTGTTATATGACAATGTGATGTGATTGTTATTTGATTATTTATGAAATTTTGTGAATTTGCGGGTTTGATAATTATTGGAATTTAGTTTTATTTTGGATTTTTTTCCTCTGTAAATAATTAATTAAATGAGTTTAAGAAGATGTGTTTATATAATTATTGAAAATTTGATCTTTTATGAAGACTTTGCTTTATGTTGAGTAATTTCTATCTCTATTGATTATTTTTGGGTGTTGTACACATTGTGTGGAGCATTTGGCTATTTGCTGTTAAATTAATTGACTTAGTTGTAGCTTTGAAATTTGTGGTCATTGGGCAAATTGTGATATGAATTGATTTTTGTATGTTGTTGTGATAATTTCTCGTGTAAATTATTGTGTTGTGTGAGTTGTTATTTTGGGGAGATAAGGGTGCCATTTTACCATTGATATTATGTGGTTATAAGGGTGGCACTGTTGTGTTTGTTGGCTATTGATATTGTCTGGGCGGAGCGATAAGGGTGGCTATAGAAGCGATAAGGGTGGCAATAGAAGCGATAAGGGTGGCTATTGATATTGCCTGGGCGGAGCGATAAGGGTGGCAATAGGAGCGATAAGGGTGGCTATTGATATTGCATGGGTGGAGCGATCAGGGTGGCTATAGGAGCGATAAGGGTGGCTATTGTCAGAGACGATATGTGATGATGTGGGGTTATGGTGTTGACAATTTTCATGTGATGTGATTTTCTTGTGTTTATTTTTATACCTTGTGCAACTTTTCTAGCTGTTAGTAAATTGATAATAATCTGATTTATGTTAAAATTGGAAGCTTGTGGCTATTGCCAGGCGGTTTATAAAATAAAATATGGGCACGAGGTACCGTGAATTGTGATATAAGATGGGGATATTGGCACGTGAATTGTTCGTGCAGTTGTGATATAAAAATGTGGGCACGAGGTATTGTGATGAAATGATAATGATATTTGGCACGTGAATTGTCCATGCAGTTGTGATATGAAATGAAGGCATGAGGTGCCGGGCAAATATGATGATTTAATTATGAGCACGAGGTGCCGTGAAAATATGAAAATGGGTTGAGACCCGTATTTTTGATGATTTTGAAATGATGTGTCACATGGTGACTTTTTAATTGAAAGAATTATATTCAAAATATTTATTTGGAAGGATTTTTACTTAGAAAGTATTATATAAAAGAATTATATATTGAAAGATATTTATTTGAGCAAATTGTATTTGAAAAGATTTATTAAAAGAATTATATTTGAAAAATAATTATTTGAAAAAAATTATATTTAAAGAGAGTTATCTGGAAGAACTATATGAAATACATTTATTTGAAGGGCTTGATCTAATTGGGTGTAATTGTGTTTATTAATTGTTGAGTGATATTAATGGTATTCTTGTTGTTTGTTGTGCATATCACTAGTTGTTTTATGTTGCCCTTATTATTATTTGTTTCCTATTATTTTGTATATTATATTACACAGGTTATTAGACTAGTGAGTGTCTTGACTGTACCTCGTCTCTACTCCATTGAGGTTAGTCTTGATACTTACTGGGTATCGTTGTGGTGTGCTCACTCTACACTTCTGCATATTTTTGTGCAGAGCCAGGTTTTAAAGATAACGGACTTGAGCAGAGTTAAAGCGGGATCGTAAGGATTCAAGGTAGAGCTGCTTGGTCGTCGCAGTTCCTTGGAGTCCTTTCATTTCATTGTACTGTTAACTTGTAATCAAACAGTATTGTATATTCGGTCCTCGTGATCATTCTATGTATTCAGCTAGAGTTCGTGACTCAGTACTACCAGTCTTGGGAGGTTGTATATTGTAATTATTTCCGATGTTAGTTTTGGTTACTTATTTAATTTTTAAAAAAAAATGGCTTCAAAAATGCAATGAAAATCGGCTTATCTAGTCTTAGAGACTAAGTGTCATCACGACTCTTATGGTGGGATTTTGGATCGTGACACCAACTCAATCAACTAAAAAGTTCAAATCAAATATTTATCGCAAATATTGGTGTTTACATCATAAAAGTTTTAGAAGGTAAATAGTTTTTTTTTTATTTATGATTCTCCCCACATTATATTTCGTGTTTTTCATTATGCGAGGTGCAGTCAACAATTTGTACATATATCATAGATGATTACAAACCGCTCTGGAATTTCATCATTTTTTCCAAAAATTAAATTTATAGATTTGAGACTCCATAAATAATAACCAAATGTAGCATTTCAAATTTTAAAATATTTTATAAAGGTGTTTGGCCCGATGCATAGATTTGACCTTTGAAAATTAAACAGAACAGCCAAAATCTCAAATCCTGTAGTCAAAATCTCACATTGGATTACCTATATTCATTTAATATGGTGAAATTATCACAGAGTAAATTTGATAGTTAAATCTTACGTTCTTCTTTCCTTGACGCTTTACATCTTATTTTATTTTTATACTATATAAAATTAAAAGTTGTGTCAATGATGAGTAAAAATCACCATCCTGTGCCTTTAAATTTTAAAACATTGCTTAAATTTACAAAACTAACCATCTCAAACCTTGCTCTTTTTTCCACTTCTCTTTTAAAGAAAGTTATTGGTCCCATATGGCCATATCTGTAACTTCATTAGATGATGTAGTTTTTTTAGATAATGTGCAAGAATTTAATTATTATTTATTGCTAGTTTGAGGAAAAAATCATAATCGTTAAGAGAAAATTGACTGGCTCTAATAAGTTACTAATCCTCCTTTTCAGGTTAACATCTCGTGCTTAGTATAGGTATAGTCAGCGGATAAAACTTAAGCCTATTGAGATAAGATAACAATTTATTCCCCCAAAAATATTACTATTAACTGTGGTAAAGATTCTTTTCTTCCTTTACAAAAATTATCATTCATTCTTCTTTTTATCTTTTAATAATATTTTTGAAAACTGCATAGATAACTTCAAAAGTATTAGACTCTTTGTCAACATCATTAAACTTCACGAAACTATATTTGAACAAGAAAAACAGAATAAATTTCTGTTGCCTAAGAAAAATCCCCTCTTTCTGTCTATTTCTATACATTTTTTTCCCCAAATCTTTCCCTTTTATTAAATCTCAGAAGATTGTTAACCAGAGTCAATTGCCATTTTTGGATTTTGAGAGCTGAAAACATGGGGTTCAAGGATTTTCAACTCAAGATAGCCAAGGTACATTGCTTCTTAATTTCTCTAAACGTATACACATTTTGTTTAATCTTTTATACTTTAATTACCATTTATCAATACGTTTACAAAGCAAAAACAAAAGAAATGACGATTGATTTAATGTTTCCACCCTAAAATGCACGATTATATACCCTAATTTGAGTCCATTTACCTCTTGTTACAAACATTTCTTTACGGCATTTTCTTCTATATTCCTTATTTCTATCGACCACCTTTGTCACAAGGTTTTAGCATGGTTTGTTTTTTTACGAGACTAATACAATCCTGGCTATCCTCTCTTTTCGACTTTGTCCGCGGACGACGGATGTTACATTTTTTAGGGCAAACAAAGTCCTCACTCATATTCCGCCATCAACTGTTGTATCTTATAGACTTGCTTCGCACCTATGTCAAAAGCAAGTTGAGGCTCATATATAGAGTTTGGTATTTTTGTTTGTTACGATTCAGAGCACTAGGCAAAAATCACATGTATAGGTACATCATGCAAGTTTTTCAATCTCTTATAAGTCGTTTACTTGTTGAATTTAATAGAAACTTCGGTTGAGAAACTTTCTTGCCAAAGAAGAAGGATACAAGAAGAGAGAAACGAACAATGGGAAGAGGCTTTCATGGATGATGCCTATAACTCATGGATATTACGTGGCGGAGGAAAAGCCGTTAGGCGGCGGAGCACCGCCACAAACACCTCAAAATAACCAAGTAGAGTGTGATAAAGTGGTGGTGCAAAGGGAACAAGTAGAAGAACAAGAGTGGTGGTTCTATGGAGTTTTTGACACCCGAATTGGTGGCGGAGTTACCAAGTACCTGCAGACTCATCTGTTCGACGACAATCTTAATGAGGTAATTAACAAACCATGAAAATAACATGATCTTAGGATTCACTATTTTCTTGTGTTTTGTCATGTTACATTTCACTTAGTTGTGATCGACACTATTTGTTTTGTAATTTTGTGTCAAAGGTCATGTTGTTGTTGCTTGTCGAGTTGTTTTGTCTGTTTAAAGGTAGAGTTGAGGTTTACACCCAAAGATGGGTTTATGGAATCTCATAAACCTTTTATCTGCTTTTATCTCAAATTCTTTTAATTGTTTAAGCTTAAGAATTGCATCCACTAATGCTTGCATTAGAGTAGGTTGTCTATATCACACCCTTGGGTGCGGCCCTTCCATGGATCCTCCATGAATGCGAGATGTTTTATACACCGGGCTGCCCTTTTTAAGCTTTGAGAAGATTGATATTTGTATTTCACAAAGATTTTACAACTTTAAAAGTCACTACAACCTATGTTGGTAGAGAGTTACAATATAGTGTATATATATGTAATATATATATATATACACACACGCCATCGATTCTCTTTTCCAAAGTTATGGAACGGAAAGAAGAAAAAGAACATTTTTCACACAGCTTGCTCATAATGCAGGTCTCAATTGTATATCATATTTGGCCGGCCTAACTCACCTACTCCTTATCGATATATCTAATACTTTCTTATATCTACTTAATTTAAAAGGCAACAAGAAGAATGAAACCATAGTCTCATATGCTGTGTGTTGTTGTGTATTTGTTAATAGCATTGGGTTTTTGGTAAGCCCTCAATGATAATCAGTATGACATTTATGAGAGGTGATGCCTGATTAAAAGGGCAGCCCGGTGGACAAGGCATCCCGCGTCCACGAAGGGTCGGGGGAAAAGCCGCACCCCAAGGGGTGTGATGTAGACAATATACCCTAATGCAAGCATTAGTAGCTACTTCCACGGCTAGAACCCGTGACCTATAGGTCACACATAGACAACTTTACCGTTGCTCCAAGGCTCCCCTTCAGGTGATGCCTGATTGTTGGGAAAATAATTTTTTTTCCTTTTAGTGTATCTATAAAATCAAAGGGAACACCTTTGAAAGGTGATGCTGGTTATTATAGCCAAGTGCAACATAACCTGGAAACTGTAGCTTACTTAGAGGTTTAGCTCATGTTTTGTGGCTATTTCCTTCAGTCACAGATGAGGAAGAGAAGCAAGGAAACATTGAAAAAGGCACATATGCATGCAAAGGCTAAAGTCAGGGAAACAGAACTAGAGAAGACCTGGAACATGGGTTCAGCTTCAGCAATAGTCATCAATGGAGAGAAGCTAATACTTGCAAATATGGGTGAATACAAAGTAGTGGTATGCAAAGAAGGCGAAGCTTTCGAAATTAACAGAAGGCAACAGCATACAACAAAGTCACATTGGTCACACAAATTCCTCCCAGGCATGACAATATATCATCCTTTTACCCCTCTTTGTGAATTTTCATTTTGATGTAGAGATTATAACTGAGTTGATTGTTTTTCATTCCTATCAGTTGTCATCAAACGCTTACCTAAAGTAAGAAGAACATCCTCGGATTCTGGAAAGGGAGCTGCAGCTAATAAGCCTTCTAAAAGCTCAGAACTTGCCGTTGGTTCTGAAAAGATTGATCGCGATATTGAATTTGTTATCTTAGCTAGTCCTGGCATATGGGAGGTAAAGTTCAATATCCAACACCCACCCACTCCCCAAAACCAACAACAAACCTAGTGTAATCCCACAAGTGGGTTTTGGGGAGGGTAGTGTGTATGCAGAGCTTACCCCTACCCTATGAAGATAGAGAAGTTGTTTCCGATAGACCCTCGCTCTCCCCCTCCCTCCCCCCCAAACCCAGTGTAATCCC